TGGAAGTTAAGATGTAAAGAAGCAAACTAGCTTTCAAAAGCTTGAAATGAAAGGCATTTTAATTTCAACTTCTGTCCTGGAGTTGATCAATTTTTCTCTGGCGACATCTTTCCTTGCTTTCCTCCTTTTTGCAGCTGGCGTGAGCCATTCCCCAGCAGTATGTGGGTTTGGAAGCAGCCATCCCTGATCATGTAGCTGCTCTTAGATTGGCTGGAATGCACTTCTACTGCTAATATTTTACTGTCCATCCTGCAGAGATGACCTATTCCAGTAGCAGCCCCCACACAGTAATTTGACCAGGTTTGCTGACCTATTCCAGTAGCAGCCCCCACACGGTAATTTAACCAGGTTTGTTCCTTAAGCTGTACCTTGGCACTGTTGTTCCTCCCTGAGCCCTGGTTTTCTGTTTCTGCTCCCACAGCCACCCCCGCCTCCTGCCATCAGAATGCAGTGCAGGATTTCAGCTGCCGACTAACTGCTGCCTCTGATTGTGCAACCGGAGAATTTCTGCATCCTCCTGCTCCTCCATTTGTAATGCAGCCCAGCCTGCCTGCTTTCCGATTCCTCCCTCCCCACCCGAAATTGCAGTTTGTGTGCTTAGCTCCTGCTTGTTTTAAAATTAAACCAAGAAATCTGAATGCAGTGCAGCTGCCTGCATTGTCACCTGCGATTCTGCAGCTCAGGCAGCACCTGTGAGTGTCCCACGGAGCTTTATCACTGTGCTTCCCCCAAGAAGTGTTATCAGCTGATTTTTAAAGACATCTCTGTCTGCTGTTCTCTCTGTTTCGCTGTTCTCTCTTAGGATTGTCCTCCCCTCATTTGCCTTAAGATAAACCAGCAGAATAGGTCAAACAGAGGGTGTTAACTTCCCAGCAGTAGGAGCTCCTGTCTGACAGCAGTCGGGAAGAGTTTGTGGGAAGAAAAGCTTTAGGAGAAAAGCTATTGGCTTCCTCCTCTGGTGCCAAAACTCCATGTGGCTTGTCTCTCGCTCTTTGTCTCACCCAAGCAGCTTTGAATAAGCTCTTTTTTACCCCGAGAGAAGCTCAGGGTACCATCATGGTTTGCTTTCAAATGGCAGTTTCATTCTCCTCTTTCCATGATTCCTGCCTCCCCGCTTTAGTGTTTTCAAATAAACCTAAAACATGCTATTCTCCTGCATATCTGCATTGTGTGTTTAGCACAACAGACCCAACTGGTGCATGTCCACAGCCCTTCAGGGGTGTCCTTCATAGAATCATAGAATCATAGAATTTAAGGGTTGGAATGGACCTTACAGATCATCTAGTCCCAACCCCCCCTGCCATGGGTCCTTGATTTCCTTGCCTTTTGTGACCATGCTTGAAGGATCCCATGGTGGTAGCTGTGAACAAAACACAGCACAAAATTTGCGACCAAGGAGAGACTGAGTTACCTCATTGAAATGCTGAAGAAGGGAACTTGTTGGTTTGTGTTTATGGCTACTTGCATGCTGCCTGCCCTCTTTCAGGGCCTGGGGAAATCCAAGTGTATTCTTATTTTCTCAGCAATAAATCTTGTGGGGAAAAATGTGGCTATCTCCGTGCACCAAGCCCAGCCCCCAGACCTGTACCATCTCATATGGAACTGCCTGTTGCATTGGCACAGAGGGAGGCTGCTGCTCTCTCTGGGAAGATGACAGACTGCAGGTCATTTCTGTGAAGGGTACTCCAGGCCTGGCAAAAAGCACCTCCTCAAAGTGCTCAGGGCTGAAAATACAGCAGAGCACATCCAGAGCAGACTGGCTAGGTCAGAGGGAGCTGAGGAGGGAAGGTGGTGGTGGTGGCTGAGTGGATCCAGGAGAGGAATAGACTGTGGATTGCATCAGATGGCATCTTAACAGTTGGAAAAGCTTTATGGCAGAAGGCAGAAGAGGCTAGGAATGAAGGAGCTGTAGGATTTTTCTCCAAACTTTAGTGAAGCACCAGCAGAAAAAGAGCAGTGAGGGGCATAGCCTTTACTCCAAACTCATGAGGGGCATCCAAAGGAAAATATCTGCCTAGGCAGGGAGGATGTAACACAGTGGGCGGCTGTGGCTGCTGTGGGAGAACTAAATTGTTCCTAGCTGGAAACAAGAAGTTATTTGAGTCCCCATCTGGTCCAAGAACATACAGGGTAGGGGCACAGTTGGATTAGATGTTCAGGAAAAGAGCCAGGAGGTGTATGAATAGGCTTTCTCATAGAAAGAGCAGACAAAGTAGAGAGGGAAGTAGTGGGGATGTGTAATGCTATGCATGGCTTTGTCTGGGAAGGGAGAAGCTGTAGTTCATGGCACGAAGGATGAAAACTTTGGGCACCAGTTTAATCCACCATCTGTTCCCAGTAGAAAAAGTCTGATTTCTTAACAAGGGTGCCTTCCCCCTTTTTGAAATGGGAAAATGAAGCCACAAGTGGTGTGGTATGTCCTCCCTGCTGGTCTGTGTTTGTCCCAACCATGATCCTTATTGCAGCATCCCAGCTTCTATCCTTTGTGTTGGCCTATTCAGGAGGACAGATGCAGAGTCAAAGCCCTGGTCCAGGTGTCCCTGAGGTGGAGGCTGCTGACAGGGTTGAGGCTGCAGCTGGCACTCATAGCAAGTATTCCCTTCCTGGTTTTGGGTGAGAGGACGTGATTCCCTGATTGTGATCTCCCCCTGCCCCACACGTGAAACAGTCTCACAGAAATGAGGTAAACCACAAATATTAGTAGAAATAGGCTGGCTCTTGAATCCACCTTACACTGAAAGAATAAAAGCAAAGAATTAGCTAAGTCATCTCCTGCCAGCTTCCTGTGACATCCTCAATAAACCCAGTCTTAAGCATCATTGTACTTGATAACATGCCCTGGACTGCAGCAAATTGGAATGCACCAAGGACTGTGACAGATCAAACATGTTTCATAAAGTATGCATTACTTTTTCTCTCCTATTTCTCTCACAGTGCTTGGAGCTCTGCTTCTCTCAGAGATGAGGAGGCTGTGCTGCAGCATCGGTGTGAACTGGTTAGCCAGCTGGCAGGCCTTGCTGCAGGCAGGCAGTGGGGAAAGGGGCTTTGCCTGGGCCTCAACAGCTGAGAAACTGCTGGCAGGAGGACTTGCTGTTTCCACCACCAATCCAACACAGCAGGCGAGCTGAGTGAAGGGGCAAAGCTAGGACTGGGAGTACCTCAGTGCTGGTGATTTGCACCACCTTCTCTAAATTTGGGCTTAGAGGCTTGTGCGAGCCTGTTAGAGAGCTGCTTCAGCATCCACACTCCGTGTGGATCTGCACGTGTTAGAGCCCTTGGTGGGTTTGGGACAGTACAAGCCATACCAGTATGTAGGTGGTTTTTGGCACATGGACCATGAAGGGCAAGGGCTGGAGAAAATAGGGAGGTTACTTGCTTAGTGTCCTGATGCTCCTGCATTTGACACTGAAGCTGGTTGTGCCCACTGTGGTACTGCCCATATATAAGCTCTTATTGGAAATAGATCAAAAAACCAGTCACATTTTTTAGGGATCAAGATCTTTCTGCAGTGTTTTTGAAGAGGCAGCTGTATTAGCCTGGGGGATGATCTTCACTGACCCTGACTGTTCTACTCCATGGTTTATGCTCCTCCTTCTTGCTGCATCCCCTCTTACTAATGGCAGCGTGTGTGCCTTGCGTGGGATTCAGCCCTCCACATTTGGAGTCCAGGCCAACTTCTGCTCAGCAATGCCACCAGTGAGATGTAGATATACCTAGGACTTCTGTGGCATAGTTCAGCAGCAACCCTGCTCCTGCCAGGTCTGTGCTTTCTGCCTGGACTCACGTGTATCTCACCCTCAGGTAACTCATTGGAGTGAGATTCTGAGGAGGATTTTTTTAACTAAGTCAAAGCTTTCTCTCTCCACACTTCAGTTTCTTCTCATAATTAAAGGTCTGTAACAATGTGAAAATGTGGTCAAAAAAGAAGATTTAGTGTGGTCAATGTGAATTTTGGCTGCATTTAAATTAACTGGCCAATAAAAAGACTCTGAATGACAGGAAATTGTATCTTGTAACAAGCTGCCACTAACTTTGCTTAATTAAGATGATGCTAAACATAATTCAGGAGTTAGTACAGACTGCAAAAATGTCCTCCTTGTGCCACCCTGGAGGCCCAGCCACATCCAATGGGCCTCAGCCACATCGTGTGCCTCCTCCAACAGTGACTTCAGTCCTTGTTGCCATGGCTGGGTTTTCTCCCAGTAACATATTCACTTGAACTTGTCTAATCTCAGTACTCCCTTGCCCAGACCTGAACCACTTCACAAGTATGAGGACCCTTTGCTCACCTCAGGGACTTTGTTTCCCTGCCCTGTATTCTTTGCTGGGTTGGGCAAAGCTGGAGGATTGATGCTTGTGCTGCCTGTTGGTGAAGAGAGCCCAGGCCAAGTCAGCACGTGTGTTTTGCTGAGGTTGCAGAACCTGGTGTCCAGGGAGTCAAAGACAACGCTCCTAGACATGCCTAGAAGTAAGATGGTAGGTTGTCCATTCTTGTTCAGACTATTTATCCTATTAACATTTCTCTCATGCCATCTGAAAATTACAGCAGGAGACAATTGTTGTCCACACGAGGACAAGAAACTTCTGCCTCCATTCCCTGCTCCAGCTCCAGCTCCTGGCCTCCTCTTCTGAACTGCTGTTTCCAAAGTCCCAGGCAAGTTTTCAGCAGCAATGGAGATGCAGAGCACTTAGTCATGGGCAGATGTAGGTAGACTGAGGCTGGTGGTTGGGAAGGAAGAGGAAGGGAGGGGAGGGTGAATCTGGGGATGAGTCCAGTGAAGGAGTAGTGCAGGTGGGTTCATCTCACCTGAGCAGTGACCTTTCTCTTGTTTGTTCAGCACAGCTTTGTGCTGACACTAAAGGAACCATTTTCCAGAGGATGAGGGAACCTCATGCTGATACTAGCAACATATCTATTGTGGTGTCTGGTCCCTTCCCTCCTCTTCCCACCAGCATGTCCCTACATCCCATGCTCTCTTTTTCTTCTGTGCCACAGAGCCATGACAAGAGCTGTGTCTAAGAAAGGAGAGCCCAATGGAGCCATCGCAGCTCCTGAAGAGATAAAAGTGGAGGAAATGGAAGAGAGAGGCCAGTGGCGCAGTAAAATGGAGTTTGTGCTGTCTGTTGCTGGGGAAATCATTGGTCTGGGCAATGTATGGAGGTTCCCATATCTCTGCTACAAGAACGGTGGTGGTAAGTTCACAGCATGCATGAGTCGTTCCAGGTCTGCGGGCATGACAAGAGATACATGCATGCCTGAACGCATTTTTACTGTGACTCATGTGTCCCCACATGCACTCCCTTATCCTCTCCTCCAACAAGTTATCTCCTGCCAAAACCAGGAGGAAAAAAACCTGAGGGGTGTATCCAGCTCCCCAGCAGGTACTGTTTCTCAAAGAAGCAATCTCAAGTTTGGATGCTGAATTGAACTCTAGTAACCATTTAAGGTTATTTTAAGGGCATTTCAAGACATTGGTGTTCTTCTGAAACCATCAAATGCTGAGTGGTCAGAAAGCCATCAGCAACTTCCTCCTATATAATTGCCTTTTCCTACTGTCTGTGTCACCTCCACCTCTCTCAGATCCTTGTTACAGAGGTTGATGGTGCTAATATTCTTGCCAGGGCCTGATAACCCCTAGAAGGATATTGGTACCTCTTCCCAAGGAGCATTTCCCCTAGTGATCAACCTACTGCTAGGGAAACCCATTACCAGGTAGAGTTCATTCACCTTCCCTTTGTTTCTTGTGTGTCTCTCCTTTTTCAATAACACTGCAATAAGATCATTATATGGTTAATAAATAAACTTTCTCATAACAATAAAATGAAACAGAAGGGAATAATTGACTGTCACTAACTTTTCTTGGTGAATCAAAATCTAACTTTGCAAAAGAAAAGGAGGAATAATAAATTACATGTCAAATACAGTAATAAATTCTCTTTTGTTCTTGTTCTCCAGAGGCACCTTGAAATAATGCTTTGGGACTTGCTTGTTCCCCCCAATTTACACTTCTTTTCTCTGCAGACCATGCCAAAAAGGCCTTTCTTCTCCAAGATGCTGTGAGCTTTCACTAATAGATGAGTGGTTCCACTGTAGTTCATCCCAGAACTGCCAAATTACTGTCCTCTGTGCTGTTGCCAGAGTTTATCCAACTCAAACAGGAGGCAATATAATGTCTCCAACCAAAGAGGGGTTGGATAAGAAATGGTTAAAGAAAGTAGAATTCAGTTTTTCTTGAACCTGGTATGGTTTTTCGCAGATCCTTCAGTCTCCTCCTCTGATATTTTGATTGTAGGCACTGGATGCACCAAAAGCAAGTCAGAGCAGCAAGGGATAATAAACACTGGTGCTGCATCTGATTGAACAGCCCATTCTGCAGAGGCACTTTGATGGTTTTTGCATGGAAAATTTGTTCCTGAGCTCAGATGATATCTTTGCATAGTTTATGCCCTAACAATTAGTATCCAGTTGAGTAGTCCTTGCAATTTGCATGCTAATTAGTGTAAGTGAAAAGACTACTTTTGTTCACTTTAGATATCTATTAAATAACCCTTTTAAAAAAATTAAACTACTCTGGCATATCCAAGGCTGAGATTCAGAGGGCACCGAAGCTAGGCTTGGGAAAGACTAGGATGGGAGAGTCCTTCCCTCGCAGCTCACACGCTGCTGTTGCAGAGAGTATGCTACTGCTGTAGAAGGTACAGCTCTCTCTCCAGGGCTCCAGGGAACCAGACAGCTGACAAACCAGGATAGGCCTAGACACTGTCATTCCCATGGCACTCACAGATATTCTCACCAGTGGAAAAGTCCTTGAAATGGCAAAAAAAGGCATTTTCCACCTCTAAATGCTGCATCCCTGTCCCACCCTCATCCCCCAAACTGGAGACTGCTGTGTTGTCACCTTTCTCCACATTCAGGTGTACTGAGATGGTTAGAAAGCCATTGAGACAGATATCATAGAAACAATAGTGCCAACTTTCTGTAAAGCAACAAACTCTAATCTCGTCTGTGGCTGCACTATCGAATTTGATTTAATTGTTCAGCATTCTGAACTTGTTACTGACTCATAAGGAAAGAGGGTCTGTTTCTGAGGGCTCCTTTCAGGTCTCAGTCTCCTCCTGTGGAACAGCAAACTGAGGAGGGGATCACAACTGGAACTTCAGCTGGTAACTGCTCTGGGACGGCCAAGAGATACAAAGCAGTTAGAGGTGTAGGAAAGCCCTCGTTGCTCACAGACCAAAATGGGTCAACCTCCGGGACAAATGGTATGAGAAGAGAGGGTTTAGAATGCGCTGAAAGGCTCATCTCTGCACAGGATAAAAAAGCTGTCTTGCAGATTTGGCATACGGATAGATGTTTTGCAGCACCAAAAGCAGCAGCTGCCTCTAGTTCAAGCATGTGCAGTTCCCACTCCCTGCTCTGCAAACCTGGTCTGACCCTGAGAATCAGCCTCCTTCCCTCTGGCCCCAGGTCTCCTGCAGCTAGGCACAGCTGTGTTTAGGGGAAACACAACTGCTTTTAGGGAAAATTTGGATGTTCCTTGTTATTGTAACAAGGAACAAGGACAAGTGTTGACCTTAAAAACAAGGACAAGTGTTCCTAGTTGCTAATTGTTACAGGAAGGAATTTCAGTGCTGATGCCTGTGCTGGTAGGGGAGGAGAGGGCCTGGGGGAACAATGCCTGGCTTGGCTGAGAAAGGGGTGCTCATCTTGGTTGCAAACAGCTGAGATGCTCTGGAGGTTCTCATGACCAAATATTTACTGTATGGAATGGCAAGACCTGGACAGTTGTTCCAGAAAGGAGTCGATCACCTTAGCTTGTTTGGAGGGGAGTGGAAGGGCAAAAACCTACACTAAGGATGATGAGGAGAGTGAGGTGATAAAAAGAAGGTTCAGCTGTGAGAATGAGCTCTCAGGAGCAGTTTTGAGTAGAGCAGAGAATATATTGGGTGTTTTGGTTTGGCAGCCAAAGCAAAAAGAAAGAAGAGAGGATTCAGACAGCTGAACAGGGCATTAAACCATTTTTTTCAGAGAATTCAACTTTTTGTTGTTGTTTTTGTTTATCTTTCCTGATGCTTTGTTTATGTTGGTCATTTTTTTCTGGGTAAAAACCTCCTGCTCTTTCTCTCCTTCCTCTTCCATTTCTTCAAGGGTTAATCTGAGAGCTATTTCAGACTGATTTCTCTTAAGACATTTCTCTACATCATAGTAAAAAAATTGATTTTGGAGAAGTTACATTTCTTCATTTTAGAAATGCAGGGAAGATTCTCTGTTGCTCTTCCCCTATTTCCATTCTTTTGGTGCAAACTGCTTTACAAATTTGACATGAAATAAGTCTCAAGTAAATTTATATCCTAGCAAATTTATTCCTTATCAAGAAATGTCACCAGCCTCCAGGTTTGTATCCTCTGGGCAAGTAGGAGTTTTGCTGTGACTCTCATGAAAGGCAGAACAAATGTGGTTATGTGAAACAATGACTTCTTTTGTTCACCCCAATCCAGAAAGCTGGAATGAGGTCAGGAGCATGAAGAAGGGAGAACTTCTCCATCACTGTCTTCTTTTTATCCCCTTGCCTCTAGGTTTTGGCCAAGGCCAAATACAGAAGTACTTCAGTAGCACAAGACAGACCATCCTTATATTTTCTTCCGAGAAATAATGGTTTGGAGATCTTGTTTCTTTAGCAGAGGTTGCACAGTAAATTCAGAGAAATACTTGTGTTTAACTAGTCAATTTCAGCTGCGGCCCCAGGTGCCTGGCAAGGGGTGGTGAGGAGAAAGTTGTTGAAGAGATTTCTGAGGCAGCATCATACCCATCTCTGCAGGAGCCTTCCTCATCCCTTACCTCATCTTCCTCTTCACCTGTGGGATCCCCTTGTTCTTCCTGGAGACGGCGCTGGGGCAGTACACCAGCCAGGGAGGGGTCACTGCCTGGAGGAAGATCTGTCCCATCTTTGAAGGTCAGTCAAATTACCAGATTTACTGACAGCACTTTCTAACAATTAGTGGCTCAGAGCCTTTTCTGGAAATATTTTTGTTTCATTCTCTTTTATTCTCCCTCCCTTCCTCTCTCTCCCCCAGCCTTGTTATCCCTTCTGCTGACTACTGTGTGTGCAGGGGCAGCTCCCTGACCTCACTGTAGGTGACTGAGGTTTGACTGGTCTCTGCTTTGAGAGGCTCAGAGCCTGGGGGAGAGCAGAACCAGGAGGGCCAGCATGCAGGAGGATAGGAGTGCCGACACACTAACATCTGCATGTAGCCCATGACAAACAGTGAGAAGAGGATGAGGAAAGCTGGCTTGCAGTGATTTCCCTACCCACTGTC